AGTATTTTAAATACTAAGGTTTTAGGTAAAATGCATATGTTTGGGAAGTTCTTCTAAGCACATGATAAATGAGACTGGAATTACACTGCACAAGGGTGAGAGGATGTTTTGATATAATTTTCTGTTGTTAATTGTGATTGCCTTTGACTTCAGTTCATCAAGAGTTTTCTGTGTTATGGATTCTTCGTTCACTGTGGAGGCATGCAAGAGCAAAGTTTTCTGCACGAGTTCAACGTAACATGAGGTGAGTGATATACAAATAATTTTGTGGGTGAAGTATTCCTTCTGAATGTTGACTGATTCCTGTCTCTGCACACAACTGCTCCGTCCATTCACTCTTCATGGAAAAGAAACCTGAAGTTTCAAGAAGGACTGCTGGTTTTAAAGTGAGATGATGTAATCACTGGACTATGTCACTCAGATTCAAACTCACTGAGCGGGTGTTTGAATTGGCTGATGTTATGTCAGCTTTGGACGGAGGTTTGACTTCGATTCAACATGTGGCTTCTTCTCTTTTGGCACTCTTTGCCTGTCCCTCATCCAGGTATGAGACAGGACTTGAAACTGTGAAGAAGAGAGAGGGAGGAGACACTGACATGACTAATTGGTGTGTGTTTGAGGGGTCTCCATTTAACAGCCTCTACTTCAAACAGGGAAATCAGAGGAGTACTGTCTTAACAATCCTGGACAACCTCCATGCTTGCCTGATTTAGCCTCACCATTTAAAGAGAAAAATCCTTGAATGAAGTATTACTGAACTATTTTAAGTTTCCTTTTCCGGTGCCAACTTTTTTTTTTTTTTTGCTTTGTAATGTTCCTCTGGGTTAAAGAACCAAAATAACATCAGGGAATTAGGTAAGCACAGTGGTTTTTTCATTCAGGTCTCTCAAAATCCAACGAGCAGCAGACACTAATACCAGACTCTTGTGACGCAACCATCTCCTCCTTCTCATTTCCTTCGAGGCAGAGGGGCCCCAGACAGGAAGCCACAGGTTCGGCAGCCAATCATGTGCCAGAAAGCTGTCAAATCCTTATGGTTGCCATTGGCCCACATCAGAGCACTGCAGCGAGCCTCTGAGGGTTTTTTGACTCCAAAGCCACCAGGGATTCCCTCTGGCTGCTGCCATCTGTGCCCAACCCCAAAATGGTTACAGAAATCAACCATTAAAAGGAAATAATCTGTAAGAAACACAGGATCTTTAAATAAACTGTGCGCCCCACAGAGCAGCATTACTTTTGATGTAAAATGGGAGGGAAGCTCGGTTTTCAATTGTTTAATGTTGGGAAATAAAGTAAGCTTAAATGCGTACTCTTTTCCACTGTAAAGTCTGTTTTTCTAAGGTAAGAGCCTCATAAGAAATGTCTCATTTTGGATCACAGCCCCATTCAATGTTCCCTCAGCCATACCACGATTTAAACTACACTAACTACAGGCTTGAAAAGGTGAAGATGCTGGTTGTGCAGCCTACAGCTACACAGAGTATGGGTACAGCAGTCAAAGTAATAATCACTGTGCTAAATGCACATCTGAAAAACCACAGTGGTTTCAGCTAAGCTGGGGAAAACGACTCAAATGTGTTGACAAACAAGCCTGAAGATATGTGGCAATCAAGAGGCAGAGAATTAATTACTGGGAGGAAATGTGCAACTTAATGTGTTGAAACCGCAGCAATGCTCATTTCTGCCTCCCAAACATAGTTTTGAGCTGATGGAAGAGGTTTGAGTGCAGGCATTAGATTAAGTTCATCCCTAATGGGACACGCAGAGCAGACACTGAGATTCTTAAATCTGTTGAAAGAAGTTTGTGTCCAGAGATGCACTGATAATCCATTGTTAAAACTATAACCCTTAAATTACTCTGAACATCTTCTCTTGTGTCTCCCTTAATATGAACTTCCATCTTCACTGTTAGTGCTTTCCTAATTCTTCTCTTTTTGTTTCTGGAAGAATGGTAACAGCAGGTAACATACAGAATATATTGTCTGGGTAAGATACATATTTTTAACACTTAAAAAAGGTCTATTACGAAGATTTTTTTTCGTATGCTATGCAGGATATGCCTGGGAATCAATGAATAGACTCATATCCCTCTCTTATGACCGACTAGAAATGCATGGCGGTGCATTTATCTGTAGAGACTCTGCCCTCTGCCTGCATTGTTTTGTTTTCTTCAATTTTGCTGTGCTCTGGATGTTCCTGGACACAGCACGCAGGTGAGGTCAGGGCTTTATACAGAGGCAGCGACCAAGTGCCAGTTTGTATGCACCACACATCCAAGGAGGAAGCTACAAAAATCGCGGACATGATAACGAAAAAACACAATATAGAGAATCTGGGGTTGGCTTTCACTTTAACTTGCAATACTGTTTACAAACAGAAGCTGACAGTTCCTGCACAGTATACCTTTAAGGTAATGTTCTGACTTTTGATAAATAATTCTACATCTGGGACTCCAATTTAGGGGAAATATAAACATGGTTTTCTTCAAGGTATGATGAAACAGCTCCTAAACTGCGTACAGTACACAGAGACTGGAGCATGGCCTGGAGCATGGCCTGGCACTGAAGATTTGCCACCAGACTGTCTGGGAGGACAGACAGTCAGACAGACAGAAAGACAAGGGCACTGCCAGGATGCTCTCCTGTAAATTACAGACCTCAGATGATAAGCCCTGCATGTTTACACTCTAAATCTAGTACTGCCAGTAAATTATAGTACAACAGTTGTATTTATAAACACCATGGTTGTATTCTAAACCCTCAAGCAGCATGGCCAAAGCAATGACAACTACATCATGAGAGATGGTGCAGCAACGGTCCAGCACGAGCCACTTTTACATTGTAAAGCCAACCACGACTCGCTGGGATCAGGATAAGCTTAACGTGTTTACAGCAGAAGACCCAAAGTACTACTTGTTCTTTTAAAAACTATAGCCGAGTCAGCGGGCAAACCATGCCAGTGAGCTACGGGATGCCAAAAAAGGAAAAAGTTGTTTATGAGGAAATTGTGTGACATAAATAATATGTAAGCCCTGTTTGGCCCCGCAGTGGAAACCTGGCAGTGGGTTGCTTCCTCTCCTACTTATCAAGACTGCCCAGCAGACTCTGGCCGCGATGCCAAAAGGTCACGGTCACTGGTGTTATCGCACTACGACTCCGTCCTCGCACACAAACAAGAGGAGGCTGGGGTGATAACACAGGACAGAGTAACAAAGTTGAAAAATAGAAACAGCGTCGACTTCCTGGCATTAGGAGACAGATGATGTATGTGTGGATGCAGAGAAAAGCACAGGGATACTTTCATGGACAGATATAATTAGATGAGCACATACACAAAGGCAGGTCAGGCAGCAAAACAGTGAAGAGTTGGAAGAGAGGTGGTGGTGGTAGCAGCAGAACAACTACTGGCAGCAGTAATAGGATTGTATAAGCAATATTAATAGTAGCAGAATTAAAAGATCACCAGTACATCCATTCGTATCACTAGTATTCTAAGTAGACAAAAATCAAAAAGAAGTAGGTAAAGCACCTTGAGCTAGCAACATGAATATTGACAGAGTAGAAGCTACAGCAGTAGCTGACATTATACTGGTAGCAGGTAGTAAAAGTAGATGTATTGGGAGCAGCTGGGGTAATACAACTATAAGCACAAGTAGAGACGTGTCTCAAGTAGTCAGACAGTTGAGTGTGCTAAGAGGTAATGCTGCTACTACTCCAATATTACTACGACTACTAGTAAGAGCTGCAGTAGTTGTAGTAACCCTCATAGTTTTGAACTAGTGGTGCAAGTGTATATATATATATATATATATATATATATATCCTTTATTTAACCAGGTAAAAGTCTCACTGAGATTAATAATCTCTTTTTCAATTGTGACCTGGCCCAGATGGTGTTATCTGTCATGGCAGTACTGTACTTTATGGAGTAATATTAGCTCAAATAAAAGCTGCGGCAGTGGTTATAATAAATATAGTTGCACCACTAGTGGGAAAAAAGCCTGTGTGAATAGAGGCAAAAATAAATGTATTTATTGTTGAAGTTTTGCTGAAGCAAGTTTGTGACCTGAGGAACTATGTCTGAATCACTGGACCAGCAGTATAACTTGGGAAGAGAAAGCAACTTCCCTCATTACCACTACAGAGTTACCTGCAGCTTCATCATTATTTTTTAAGGTTTTCATGTCATTCTGTAGTTTCCCAGCAGCATTCACTATGTATTTAAATCCGAAAATTCAAATATTGGTCAAAGTGGACACATGGTTTAGCGTCAAAATACTACTTTCTGTAGCCCCTCTGAAAATGTTTTTCCCATGTGACCTGACGTATGTTTCTGTATGATGACTTTGCTACATGTAACGCCCCCTAGCCTGCCTCTGATAAGCCTCCTTTGAGGCTTGTGTGTGCTATCGATCTTACTATCCGAGTTTAGAGAAGCAGACGTGAGTACCAACACAGAAGCTGAGCAATGTACTGCTGTGGACATCACGTTAGTTTGGCTCCAAAGGTCACACAATAGCTCACAATGGAGTCTGGTGGCTTTGAAAAGAGAGACATAACGGCTTCAGTTCCCAATTGGAAAGTGCTTTGTGACGACGAGGTAAAGCAGTAACAATAGTCTAAATACAGCGTACACTTCAATTGATTCTTTTAGGTGACTAAATTATGTTTTGCTGCCCCTGTCTGTTTGAAAAACCAGGCAAAGAAAGCAGATGGAGTCAGCCTTTGAAAAAGGCCCTGAACCTTCAAACCCAGTGAAGCTGCTCAGTGGCCAACAGCTCAGACTGTGGCTGTATTGGGCAGCTCCCTTAAAAAAAAAAGTCAAAGTCAAACTACCTTGAATGAAGGATAAAAAACTTTCTGACTACTAGTTATGGCACTTGTCACATTTTAGTACTGGTGTCCTTTCACCACCACTACTAGTAGAAGAGCAGTACATCATAATACAGTCGAAACTGTAGTGGCAGTAAAGACAGCAGTAGCGTGCGGTGTCAGACGTACCAAACCTGCGACAGAACACCCCCATGACGGTGCTCTCCTCCACCACTCGCAGATCTGCCAGCAGAGCCAGCTCCAGCCCTCCAGCCACAGCAAAGCCACTGACTGCTGCTATCAGCGGCTTTGACAGCTCCAAACGGGACGGACCCTGGAGGAAACAACCAGATTAGTACATCAAAACACACACACAGTATATACATGCAAAGCTGTGGCACAGAAAAATCAACACAGACAAAGAACACATTGTTAACAAGGCAGCAACACTGCTTCCTGTAAAATAAAACCACTGTATGGTATATTTGAAGCACCTCTATATATAAATGTATATTTTCACTATCCTTTCCATGCGTTTTACCTCCCTGTTTCCATGGTGCATCTACTAAAAATGTTCTAGAAAAGAGTAACAAATGATCCAAGTTCTGGCTGTCGCTGAACAAATGATGCACTGTGTATACTGTGAGAGATGCAGTGCTATAATTTTCTGTACAGGAGGTACACTCAATCCCAAAGACTTAACATGCAATCCAGACAGATTTTATGGAGGCTGCAGCTTTTGTAGTTTACAGTACATCTTTAATGCTATAATCCTTCTTTGTCAAGTGATAGCAGTGTGCCCGAAGTGAGGACGTTCTGCACATGCACAACACGCACAGCTGCCTTAATTCAACATCATTCCCTAAACCCAAATCTTTACCACTACCTGTCTTCTCAAACCCTTAAAAATAGCTGCAATCACCACTGACCACCTCATCTGATTTTATGTTTTGGTGGAAACCTTCAGACCTCCATTAAGATCATAAGGAAATATAGATATAACCCCGTGAAGCACACACAAACAGCGCTCACCATCGGACCGGGACCCTTGGTGACATCTTGCTCCAATTTGAGGGAGGCTGTGTGATTGGCCAGCTCTTTCAGATCATAACCAGCGCAGAAATTCCCTCCTGGAGGAGACCACAAAATTACAAAGTATGGCAGCTGGAAAGTCAGAGAGGAAGGGAAAATGATGAGGATGAAAAAAACAACAAGTTGAGCTGGAGTCCGAGGGCTGCAATTTGGATAGCAGCTTGCTTTGGGCTGGCTGGCACACAAATGCTCCTCTTCCCTTAAGAGCTCAAATCCAATACATAGTCACAAATCATGCTTTTGCTCACACACATATGCACATACACAATATGCTCATTAATGAAGGACTAACATACTCCAACCACAGCCCCTTCCGTTGGATTCATGTGGTAATTACAACATTACCCAAGAGGCCTACAAACACTATGTCACAGGCTCAGGCAGGGACTCATAAAATCCTCCTCTCTCCGTAATGTAACAGTAATGAAAATGATTATAACGAACACATGTGCCAGCAACACCCATCAACTGGGAGCTTTGATTACAGCTGTGGGTCAGCACAGGGCAATTATAGAAAAACAGTGCGTCATGCTGTTTATGGGAGCAGCGATGTGACAGAGCTCCCTAAACCCCTTTGTCCTTGTAGGAAAAAGAGCAGAAGCTCTGAAGAGCTGGCCCATTCATGGAGGATCATAAAAAATTACTTGAACTCTTAGTTCACTAAAAAAAACCTCCTCTGAGGGGCCAAACAGACAGAGAGAGATATTCTAGTTATTTAATGAAAATAAACAGTGCAGTTATGTCATAAATGCTGCTATATGAGCAAGGACTGGGAGACTAAGCTGAAGACTTGTAGGTTCAGAGTTTGAGGTTTAAAGGGTCATTTGACCCAAAATATTCATGCTGTAAAGAGTTTTATCAGGGGCAATGTCTTCTGTAGAGTATATGATGCGACCAAAAGAATGTGAACAGTGGTGTACGCCCTCACGGGGTCACAGGATGAAGCTGAGATGTAGCAGGATGATTAACAGGGTAGTAAGGTAAAAAGTATGTGCCACACATAATTATATGAGTTTCAGTTGTTTCTCTTAAAGTTTCATATGTATTTATAAATGAAAAGACCCTTTACTTAAAAGGACAGCTCAAGTGCCAAAGGGGGAGAAAGACGGGATGACATGCAGCAAGGTGCCGCAGGTTGGAATCAAACCCACGGCAACTGCGGCAAGGTCACCGCCCTTGCACATGGGACACCAGCACCACCCACTGAACCACTGGGAGCCCCAGCTGATTCAAAATTATTAAAAATTAGATTAATATTATTAAACCAATCAAAATTGAAAAGCAACAAATCCTCACATTTCTGTAGCTGCAACCATGAAATGCTTCAAACAGTTAATCGACTAATGGTTTCAGCTGTAATTATTGTTGGGTGGATACATTTATTTCAAAAATAGCATATTTCATAAACTCTTCATATGTTTTGCATGCACAAATCTTAATTCGCAAAGTAATTAGTTACTAAGGTGTCAAGTACAAGTACCTAAAATTTGTACTCAAACACAATACTTAAGTAAATGTACTAAATGTACTTAATGTCATTCCATCACTGGAAGAACTTAACTGGCCAGCAGTGACCTGACCTCAACCCCATTGTGATAAACTGGGAACATTAACTGTTCTCTTAAAAAAAAAAAAGTTAAGTTGATTACTTAAATCTTGGACAAGTAAAACTGCATGGATGTTTTTTGTACTTTGACATTTAAGAAACACAAACAAAAAGGACTGTACAATATGTATTTAATGGGACTAGTGAGGCTTTACAGACATTAAAAGTGCTTCACCTCAGTTCAGCTGAACATGTGCACAGCTGTAGTGACACAGCTAGGTTGACATCTAGATTGTATCTGACCACAAACGGCCACAGAAATCTGAATCCCAAACACTCCAACTATGTGCCAGCATATTCAAAACCTGCAGTAGGCAATTACTCTTAATTTCACAAGTAAAAAAAACATGTCGACATTGAAAAATTAGAGCTGAGAGTGATCGTGTTGGTGCTAATTTGAACAAAATGGATTCCTTATGTTTTCAGAAACACTACAGCCAAACTTGAACCTCCCTGCTTGTCATCTCATAGCACAGACAGACTGCTAATCACCACTGAAGGTCAGTCTTCTTGTTATAGTGGAGCAGCAATACAGGACAACCTGCTGACAGGAATGTGTGGTGGGACGATTAAAAGCACATTACAGACATTGTGGGAATCACAGAAGAGCCACTTCTGCTGGAACAACCTACTGTGCCGCTCATTGCTAACCCATTTAAAACGAGCTAATTACTCTCTACACTACACACACTGTTTTCTATTCACAGCTGAGACTAGTAGCACTCAGCAGTCGTCATCTGGAGAGGCTCCCACCTCTGAAGTACCAAACACAGTATATACTTGTGTCTCTTGAGGCCACAGTGCACTTCATACAGCAGGTTGATCCAGGTTGAAGACATTATTTCCACTGAGGGAAGGAGTTCATTCAGCGTGTGTGATGATTATTTTTAGAGGTATTAGGAGCTGTGGCATGATTCTGGCTTTGGGCGGCTGACACAGTGCAGGCCACCTCACAGGTGTGTGTGTTTTTTCTGTGTGTGCACAAGTCTGGTCACCTCTGCATTTCGGCTAGATCTAAGGACTGGAAAAAAAGATGCAAAGGAAGAATGTGATGGAGAGAAGGTAGGTGAAGTGCTGGAGGAAAAGTGAGAGATGAAGGACTGAGGAAGGACGAAGAGAAGTTTTAGTGACTAAATTGATACAGGGCTAAAGTTGGGTTTCCTTGACTTTTTTGACCAGGAAGTTAGGGGTTGTAAAGTACTTTCTGACAGAAAAAAAGTGTCTAAAATTCTCCAGCTTGCAAAGACAATGCTGCAAAATCCCTGATTTACTCTTTAGGAATAGTTTGACATTTTGGGGAATAAGCATATTAACTTTCTTGTCAAGAGTTAGATGAAAAGATCAATACTGCTCTCATTTCTGTACAGTAAATATGCAGCTTGTCATCACTGCAAATATGCCAAGCAACCAGTGGAGGCTCCAGGAAGTTACTGCTCCCAGCCAAGATATAGTCCGACACATACTACCTGGTGAAACCCCAACATGTTTTTAGACTTTTTGTACCGAATAAACAATCAAGATAAGCATTAGTGTGGTTTAGAGGTGCTGGTGGGTGCATTTGGTACCTTTTTGCACAGATCTAGAATAACTACTTCCCACTGTTTCCAGTTTTTGGGGTAAGTTAAGCTAACCAGCTGCTGACAGTAGTTTCAAATTTAGCATCCAGAATTACATCAATCTTCCTGTCTAACTCTCTGCAAGAGAGCAAATAAGCATACTTTTCAGAAACTATTTCTTCCAGGTGCAATGCTCTCAGGATTTCATGATATTCCAAAAAAAAAAGGCATGACTGGTTTTAATGCTGAAATGTTAAAAAATGAGGCGCAGATAAGCAGAGGAAGAGAAAACAGACCCTAGAGGAAAATGACTGATGCTGAGGACAGCTGGCTGGCCTTTAACTCGAGACAAAATCTCTCAACAAGTTTTAAACCAGGCTCAAGCTCAAATTTTCACCCATCCATTCCACCTCTCACAGTTCTCTTACCTTTCCCATGCAGGACAGCCACGTTTAAGTCTGGGTCACTGTCAAAGGCCTCCAGCTCTTCCAGCAGACGCCTCGCCGTCTCCTGGTTCACCGCATTACGCACCTCAGGCCGGTTTATTGCCACAGTGACCACAGACTCCCTGCGCTTGGTGACCACAGTCTGTCCCGCAGCTAATGACAGAGAATGATAAAGATGCACAGACAGAAACCAATACGGACCACAACACTTAGAAAGAGGCCGACCCAGAGGCATTAAGTTTAACCTCCACAGCAGGAGGGATGGAGATGGAATGTAAATCATTTTATGTGGACAGGCTTGATAACAGAAAGAGTGACGGACAGTGACACAATGAAAGAGATGGTCTGGGTTGAGGTGAGGGCCTTGGCTCTCGCTCTGTCTCTGTGTTTATAAGTGTGTGTGAGTGTGCCAGTGATTGTGGCTTGAGGTTGCAGCAGGCAGTTGACCTGACATTGTTTAGGGTTATCCCAGGGAATCCAGCTGTCAACCGCAGCCAGAGGCAACTGCATCCAAGAAAAAACAGCAAGGAAAACAAAGCTACTGAGCGCATTAACCGCGCTCACCCAGGCTATTCTAAGGAGAAGGGACTGCTAAACAGAACGCGGTGAAGTGAGGATGGAGGAAAAAAAGCAATTTGTCTCAAGCAGCCCTTTCTACTCTGCTTCACCTCAAACAAATTATCACACAGCACAGTGTGCTCATGGGAGTGGAACCACATTTTAACTACCTGTGTGTATGTTGTTTTCCATTTTACTTCACAGTTCAACTTTAGGACTTAAACTGTGAGTCTGAGCAGCTCAGGGTGAGCCGGCAGGGCAACACAGATTAAATATTAGGATTACATTTTAGTGGTATTATTGTTTCTGACAGGTGTTTTATGTCATTTTTATGCATTCACAACACTTTTTAAATAGGGGTGTTAATCACAAGTTTCATCACAATATGATATGATACAGATTTTGTTGACAATGATCCGAAATTTTCTGATATCACAAAGTCTGCTAACATATAATTTTGATTTGATTCAATTCAGGGACACCAGTAAACATCCTCTGTCTTTTTTATGGCTGCTCAGTATTATCTGCGTGGCAGTAGGTTGCTAGCACTGTTTGATTGTTTAGGCAGGAGGTGCACTTGGATTGTATTACTGACACAAACATGAGATGGGAATTTAAAAATAAAGTAATCTTAAAGAGGATGATATGTATTAAGGTTTTTACTTTGCATCGACAATATTGGATCACCGATCTTAAAATCAACATACCAATCCAGATCGATGTATCGTTACACCCCTGTTTTTTATACTGGAAATTTAAAATAGCTCTGAATTGATTAGTCGATTAAAAATTAGTCATCAACCATTTGATAATCTAATAAGTCAGATGTAAAACAGTGTACATGAAGCGCTGCTCGGGTGTGTAAAAAAGGTGTTTAGGACTGTGTCTCAAGAGACTTTAATATCTCATGGCTATTTAACAGTTAAATACTGCCTTGGGTTTCAGCCATTAAGGCCTTGATTAGAGCAAGCTGAATTCTTCAACAATCCTAATTGAGTAGTTATGGGCGGATTATGAGAAAACGGTCCCCTGGGTGCAGATTTGTAAAAGGGCCCACCACGTCTCCTTCATAGAAGACACAGGTTTTGTGTTGGTTTTGCCTCGTTTTTTTGCCTCATTTTGTGTCCCTATGAGATCATTTTGTGTCCCTATGAGGTCATTCTGTGGGGGTTTGTGGTCGATTGTCTCTTTGTGGTTGTTTTGCACATTCTTGTACTTATTTTGTATCTGTTTGCAGTTCCTTTGCATCTCTTTGTGGTCATTGTGAGTCTCTTCCTGGTCCATACCAAGATTATTCAATGAAGGCTGGGACAAGCTCTTTGACCCCATGGGAACAATGGCATATAACACATGTGCAATTTAACTGGATGTTGGAGGGTTACAGCAGACGACACTAGATTACTATTTCACGACGCTATTCCACTCAAATGGATGTCAGGTGATATATAATAGAACGTTTTCATAGAGTAAGCATAGGTTTGTGGTCTTTAATTAAGGACGTTTTCAGTAACTACAGAATTGTAATTTTCACCCATGTCTTTATTCTTTTCGTATAAAATATATTCCCACACAAGGTCAACTGTGACCAGCTTTGTGAAACTAATCAAGCATCCCCATGTTTTATAATAGTGTGCCAGCTGTTGAGCCTTTCGACAGGTGACTAAATTTCACTGCGTATGTGTTGTAGCCCAGTGATATAACGTGATATGACGCCGTGATTTCTCCTCTTTTTCACCTCCTTGGTTGATACGTTAATTTGAGTGACTGAATGTCACCAGGTTCTGATTTGATTTTTTAATGATACAATCAGCTTTTAATACATCCTATTGATTACGTACACAGAACAGTCATCTCAGAAGATTCTGAAGATACTGTTTTCTGGAGATACTTCAGAAATTGAGGATATTTTGAGCCGTGATGACAAAAACAATGCAAAATATTAGGGTTGCATGATATTGGATTTTTTGCTGATATACAACAACTCATTTGGCTGATAAATGATATCAATATATCCACTTTTTTCCCCAACCTAATTTTAGTGATCATCAAGTCTCTTCCATAGTGGATTTAACATATCACACATGCATGCTCTTATCGTGATGGCCCAGCACCAGATGAAGAAATGCGGTGCTTTTTGACGTACGTAATATTCATTCACTGTGCAAAGTAAGAAAAGGTATGTTGGCCAATTCCAATGTATCATTTTAAAGCCAGTATCGGCCGATAACAATGACATGCCGATATGATCGGACATCCCTAACTGCTAAAGTACACAATTTGTGTTTAAACTGTGTTAAACGTAAACATGAGATGCTGTATTACTTAAACACGTCAAAAGATCAAATGAAAGACTTGTCACTGGAAAATATACAGGGGTATTACTGCTCTGATTTGATTTTCTAATGATACAATCAGCTTTTAATACATCATATTGACTATGTACACAAAATATTCATCTCAGGAGAATTTAAACATACTATTTTCTGTAAATAATTGAGAAATAGAGGATATTTTGAGTCATTATGACAAATAGAGTAGAAAATATAAACGCAACGTATTTTTAAAGCGTCACTTTATCCAATGATGTGAGTTAACTATCCATTAAAAATAAGTAAACTTTTAACTTTTGTTAAAAACAGGTCTGTTCAGAGCATTTATTGTCATTTTCACTGTTAAGTGGTGTCTGCGGTCAGTTTCTTCACATAACCAGATAAAGTATCTAATCATTTACTTATCTACTAATCATGAGTGCATTTACAGTAGACATCCACCATTACAATATTTTTGGGGTGTTTGTAACATAATTTGGTCTGGAAAGGTCAACTTTTAATTACACCTGTGCTTGTCCTGTAATGACCCGTCAACATTTACACAATGAAAACAGTGTATTAATCCTGTAATGACAAGAAAAGGCTTTTAAGTTAAGAGGATAAAGTAAAGTTAACCTTACTTTATGTTTAATTATACAACTGTTGACATTTTTATGCTCTGTGTCGGCTCTTAATTCTTCAGTTATTGATGATATCTTGATTTACAGACCTACAGCATTGATTCAGAATAACTGATGTAGCACAGGTGAGTCATGTCTGTACCACAGGTATGCACTGACAATATGGCAGCCTCTGCTACCTCCTACAGTCACCATGAAGTTACTGCGTGTTTCCACACATACCTGTTCCTCTGTCTTCACCTCCCGTTGCAGTGCTGTAGGATTTCACTGGCAACAAACTGGCCTTTATGGACAGTCGAGATGTTTTACTGTGACAGGTAACGTTAGCCGCTAAAATTGGTGTCAACGTCCGGAAATGTTTCAGCGCCATTGTCTAAAATTACTCGTGAAAATATTACAAGCTCAAACTCGATTTACACTAACTAATCTCTATCGTATTTTACAAACAACTAAAGACAAATTAGCAATATTTATTCTACTCTTTACACATTAAGCTAACGTTTGCTAACTTCAACACAACTTTGATATACTGGTGCAACACCTTTATTCTTCCCCAGAGAAACAAGGACACTGCACAAGGTTCTGAAGTCATATTGGTGCATTGCGGTGGTAGAAACCACCAACGTACAGCAGATGGCGACATTAAGCCACTTAGCAGGTCACTGTTTCCTCTGCAATGCAACGTACCTCTGTATAAATGATGAAAGCAAAACTCCACATCAGATTTCCATTTTTTAATAAAAGATTTCTCTCTCGTGTGTTCTTTTTACACATTTTAAGGCATCATGCACAAAAAATAAGCCATACTAAAAGGCGTTATGCTTACCCTCTACCAAAAATGATATGATCTAACATTTGAAGATTTTGCAGTTAAAAATAAGTTTGTACAAATATGGCATGTAAGCTGGCATGTCAGTGAATCTCGAAGCAGAACATCACCTGCTTTCACCGGTTTTGTAAACATGGCTTTGAGCAAAACAGGGCTGAGGAAGAGACAGTTAGAAAGGGAAAGCATGCTTCAACATGGGGCTAAATTTCCCTGAAATGCATGCAATGCATCTTGAACCATATTTACAATGCATCATTTTCACTCTCAACAGAGTTCTTTTTTTAATTGTATCAATTAAAGTTAAGACATTAAAAAGTTTGTTGACAATAACAGACAGTTAGACTGACAGACAGAAAGACAGGATGTGTCCATAACATTACCCAACCCCAACACAGATGTAGCTCAGATTTGTCATGAAACAAAACACTACAAGATTTTTTTTTTTTTTTCAAATACGTGAAGCATTGTCATTGTACCTCAAGACAAATACTGTCATATGGAGGGTACTTCAAGGTTCCTCTTGTATTCATTTTATAAATTTGTGTCAAACAGCACAACCAGGGTGAAAAGTTAGGTTTAAAAAAATCTTGTAGTGTCCACCATGGCAGACATCCGGGAGGTGCCGTTAGCTTTGGCACAGTTGTGTCCAGTTGTGCTCTTTTGTGCTTATCCGTGTGCGTTATACTATATTGAAGACCATGGATAGATACTGTTCATATGAAACCTGGATCCAGCCATCCTGGTCTGTGTCGTACCGCCTGAAGACATCAGTCAACCTCTGTGGAAAGGAGGGGAAAAAGTGATTTAACTTCTCATTCTCATTGCTCCAAAGTTCAACACTGTCAATCACAATTTTCATGATTATCATTATCACATTTCATCATTTACTACCATAGTAACAGACATTCAACACCGGGTCACTGAGTAATATAAGTGCTTGAATTATTTATCATTAATATCTCAACACAAGGTCATTCATTTAAATCTAGGTCTGAAAAAAAGTGTTTAACAAAGTGGATGGTTGACACCTTGAGAGCTATTGTGAGACCCTGAGTGATTCACTTCAAAAGCTACTCTTATTTTACCACACTCCTGCTTCAGTTGCTATACTAGTGTAAGGTTATAGTTATGCATGGCAGCTTCCATTACAACTGTATGTATATGAAATGACTGAAACGAAACATACGGGCTCAAATGGAACTTCAATGGGAGATTAATGATCTAAAAGGAAGGGCTGTAATGCTTTTCTTAAATATGCATAAGTAAAGCTCCTCTTTGAATCCTATGAATACACGAGCAGCCTCATAATGCAAGTAATAAACCAAAGAACGTCCTACACTCATGCATTTGCATACGTGTTAGTGTTGTCACAAACCTGGACTACCTCACTAAAATTTGATACCATTTTCAAAACCAAGGGAAAACTGACATTCATTTTTTAAATAAAAAAATATATGAAGGCTAAGGCTATAACATGAAAGTAGCAGAGAAAAGCAGAATGACTGCAGTAAACATTAACAAGAAGGGAGACTGAGAAAGAGCAGCTGACACAGGTGTATTGATATTGCAGAAAATGACTATTGGAACTGCTGCAAGCATTCAAAATCAGTATGCATCTATAAACTACTGACGACACTGACACATGTGGGAAACAATAGAGAATCATGTTACATTCAGTTTATTGTATTTCACTTTGAATCTGTTACCTGTAGTACAATACAGCACTGGATGAAGTCATCAAAGGCAACCTGTCCCTTCCTCTGACGGTCGAACTTCTCTATCAGCGTGCAGTAGAACTGATCTGATAGACGATAGCCTGCACACAACAGCAAACAAGACATTCACAATGTGACCAGACATGGACTTGAACTTTAAAACAAACAAACAAACGTGACTTTGGAACAACCTAAAGTCCTCTATCTGAGAGGGGACAATGAAAGATCTAGCCATGTGATGAAGCATACATTCGCCACTGTCAATATGATACATACTTTTCACTGAGCAGTTACTTCAGCTTTAACTGAAATATATTGTTGCCGACAATTTCAACAGCGTATTGATTATGGCTCTTGTGGCATTTACAGAACTTAAACAAAACCCTTGAGGGATTTAGCCGCAGACACTTTTAGACAGTACAAACACTGAACACAGGATCTCGAAGGCAAAGAGAAATCCTTCAAAGTCAAACACAGACTGAGTAGTTTTATTTATTTATTTTATGTGCTAAGTTACATTTCTGTGGAATCGTGTTAGCTTTGACTGGAAGATGAAAGCTTCTTGCTCTAAATAATGAATTTGGATTTGTCTCCTGTTGTTTGTTCTGCATTGTAAATGGTGAGCTGGAACTGCATGTCTGTGTAAAACCTGACAAGTATTTACTACAATACATGAGTGGTGATGATAAATTAAGGATTGAATTCCAAACTACTATGCTGGTCTATCCAAACACACAAAGAGCAACTGAAAAGACAAAATCTGACCTTGTGACCCACAGAATTCCTAGTGACAGCTATGGAGCCCTCCACCACATTCATCAAACATAAATACACAAGCATACTTTGCTGCTGCTGCTCACCGAATCCAGTCAGCGCCTGTTTGAGCTCGTTCTTATCAATGAAACCAGAGTTGTCCCTGTCGTAGGTCCGGAAGATGTTCTGCCAGTCTGTGATGTACTTCCACACTCCGGCGAACTCGTTGAAGTTCACCCCACCTTTATTTTCCCTGTCGAACATGGCTGAAGGAGAGGGGGAGGACAAAGTACACTTTAAGAGACATTATTCACTCTATCACACACACAACTCTACAACAGCATACAGCTGGGACGGATCCTGTGACATGAAAGCATGAATGGTAAACATAGTTTTAAAGGGCTGTCAGAGAGCTGAGAAGTGTCTCACACTTGACTAACTGCTGCCTCATAACAGAGGAAGAAAACTCCTCAATCCCCCCACCAATACTTCACTCTTCACCCTCATGCGGTTCAATCCAATTACCTCCCAACAAAGAGAGTGTTATCACAGGATATGCTTCTTGCTGGGGGACCATTAAACAATGGATTTACTGAGTATGGAACAGTAGGAAGGGGAGGCGACAGAATTATAGGGATTTACTCTACAAGTCACACAACAAAAAGGGAACAAAGTACATATGTGGCCTGGGGAAAGATATTTTTAACATATTTTTGTCTAAACTGGAAGCAATAGCACAAAATATGCCAGGGATCTATAGATAATAAACAGCCATCTTCTCTCAGATTCCAGATGAGAGATAGAGATTAAAAATCTAAAAAATATTTAGCTTTATTTGTGTTGAGGTACAGCCTAACCATATAGTAGTACAGTTAAAAAGCTGCCAACCTCGTCCTTAACTACACTGCAGAGTTTAAAGTTTTTAACCTCAGCTGCACATCACAACTGTTTTATGAGTGCAAACAGATCGATATTTGGAGTTTGAGGCAATCGGCAGCTGCCTTTTGAGACCAACTTTCTCGTTTCCTTGCTGATGCCCTTTCCTCCTCCCATTATTGATGGCTGCAAGTTTCCACTATAGCAGCAGTTACTGAAGCCAAAGATAAGTTTGTGTCAGCCCTCAGATTGCTCAAGCTGTAATGAAATTACCCAGTTGTCATGGAGAGGAGGCAAATAAACAACCTGAGAACAACAAGCAGTTTTGTAAAAGTCAGGCATATCACTGTCAGCAGCTACTTACATATGATGGAGCGTACTGTCACTGGGTTGAAAGGAGTCCATGTGCCTGTGAGACAGAGGAATACCATTTAAAAACATACCAGACCAGTGAGACCAGTTGGCTATTTTAGTATCTATCATAGAGCTGTAATGAATAGGTTGAAGCTTCAAAGCTCCTTTCATAACGCTGACATTCAAATTCTAAATCAACATTTAAACGCTGGGCAGCTTTTGCTTTATGTTGCATGTCTATTCATTCTGTTTAAACCCTGTATTTCTGCACAGTTGCAGATAAAGTGTAGGCTACGCTAATATTAGTAGTATTAGATTCCAGTGGTGGCTGCATAGGATTGTCTCCGACTTGTGTGATCCAGACATCCCTAAGAAGTCCACAGATGCAACCATATCCACAATTTACAACATGTTTTATCTTATAAATATTCTGCTTCAATCCATAATCGTTTGCAGGGGTTGACTTCATAAAATATGATGACAGACATTCAAAACTTCATTTGAAATGCTTGAATGTAAAAGAAATTACATTGGGTACAGCCCAATCTATAGTTAGAACAACATGAATTAAAACATTTACAATAACCTGATGACAATAACAGTTAACTTTGCTAGCAGTTAAAACCACAGAGGAGAATGTGATAAAAAGATTGTACAGTCAGTTTTCAGTAGAGATTTGTAAGACTGCACACAAACTGCCAAGCACAGAGGCTGAGAGCAGTCGTGGTTGCTAATTTTATCCTAAATATCACATTATCTAAAAAAAAAAACAAATTTGACATGAAGGGAGGCATGGAAAGGACTCGTCTCTGTTCTTGTTTTATTAGATCTTAGTGCGGCGTTTGACACAATTGACCATCAAATTCTACTGCAGAGACTGGATCACTTAATTGGCCTAAAAGGTTCAGCACTAAGCTGGTTTAAATCTTATTTATCTGATCGTTTTCAATTTGTTGACGTTCGTAATGAATCATCCTTACGTACCAAAGTTTGTTTTGGAGTTCCGCAAGGTTCTGTGCTCGGACCAATCCTATTTACTCTATATA